AATCCACACGGCCAACCGTGGTTCCTCCCCTCAAGCATGTGTGCATTCATGCCCAAGATCCTGATGAGAGCAGGAAAGGAGGGAAGAGGATTGTGTAGAAATTAAGCCCCATTATGGGGCTCTCTCATTCTCTCTCTGGTGAGTGCACAAGACCTCTAGCAAAAAAAATAAAAAAATAAAATAAAAGAAGAATTCAGGAAGATAGAGTCCATAACTTCCCCACTGGCAGAGTGGACAGGTGGTGACAGCAGTCCTGTGGAGACACACGTCCTTCAGAGTGCGGTGTTCATGCTCCCACCTCTTTCTGTGTGTCCCCATGATTGCTGTCACCACCCAGGTAACGGGCCTGGCTGGGCAGCCCCAGAGTTGCCTTAGCCTCTGCTGTCCAGACCTGGCACATGCAAGCAACGAGCGTTAATTAGTGCATGTTCCACGAGAGCAAAGGAAGGGCCTGTGCCTGTGGACTTCGCAGGCCTGTGTGTGGAATGAAAGTCCTGGGTACGTCTTCACTTGGCCTCTTGCCAGCTATTTTGTTTCTCCACATCAGCTAGTGAAGATGACGGGGAGAGACAACGAGAGCTGCCTGCAGGCATTCATCTTGGTGGGCTTTTCCGATCGTCCTCGACTAGAGATGGTTCTCTTTGTGTTTATCCTGGTCTTCTACATCCTGACCCTGGTGGGCAACACTGCCATCATCCTCCTGTCGGTCTCAGATGCCAGGCTCCACACACCCATGTACTTCTTTCTTGGCAACCTGTCTTTCCTGGACCTCTGCTTCACAACCAGCATTGTGCCCCAGCTGCTCTGGAACCTTTGGGGTCCAGACAAGACCATCACCTACCACGGCTGTGAGGCCCAGCTGTACGTCTACATGGTCCTGGGCTCCACGGAGTGTGTCCTCCTGGCCGTCATGTCCTACGACCGCTACGTGGCTGTCTGCCGGCCGCTGCACTAGTGGCCCACTGTCTGTGTGAGATGCCTGCTCTCATCGCCATGTCCTGGGAGGACACCATGCTGGTGGAGGCGTTTGCCTTTGCCTTGGGGGTTGCCCTTCTCCTGGTGCCCCTCTCTTTGATCCTCCTCTCTTATGGCTTGATCGCTGCCTCCGTGCTCAGGATCAAGTCAGCGTCGGGGCACAAGAAGGCCTTCAACACCTGCTCCTCTCACCTGGCGGTGGTCTCCCTCTTCTATGGGACCATCATCTACATGTACCTGCAGCCAGCCAGCAGCTACTCCAAAGACCAGGGCAAGTTCCTCACTCTCTTCTACACCATCGTCACGCCCAGCGTCAACCCTCTCATCTACACTCTGAGGAACAAGGACGTGAAGGGGGCCATAAAGACACTCCTCCGGTGGGAGAGAGGGGCACGGGCAGCCTAAATGAGGGGGCACTGCAGTCCTGAGGGGACTGTCTTAGCTGTGTCTGTAACCAGTGAGGACTGGTATCCCGAGCAGAGTGAACGCAGTGGGCGTCATCCATTTGAGTGGACACTGTTCTCTGCTCTCTGGTTGTGAAGTGACTTCACTCTGAAGTTGTCTCCTTTAGAATATCTCTGCCCTGGTTTGCGTTTTCCTTATCTTTGTGATTTAGCCACAGCTGCAGGAGACCGTGTGAACTGATCCAACCTGATAAAGGCCCTGTCTGTGCAGAGCATATGATTGATGTCAAGTAAAAAGTGAGACACAGACTGGCTTTTTTTTTTTAGAACTCTTTTATTTATGACTCAGGTAGGTTTTACAGAGGGAGGGGTCAGTATGAGTAAAATCACAGTACTGTGCCCTGAAAATAAACTCTCTCCTTGAGTAGCAAATGTCTTTTGAGTT